TAGAACTATCTTTCTGAATAAAAGCAATAATGTTTAAGATTGCATGCATTGGTCTCTTGTACAAACTAGCCTAACTAATTGGCCACGAATATTTTGCTACCATATAGAGCCCAGATTAGCCTGAGTGTAAACTCATGGACTGTCTGTGTTTGTTGCTTTTTCTTAACCAAGGGGATGGACTTGAGGAAGGAGTGTTAGTCAGGGCCTGGCTGAGAAGTTGGGCTCATCTTAGCTAATAAGGACTGGCTAAACTCTGAAATCTCTCCTTCTCCGGCTTCCCCTTAATCTCCTTGGAGATGGGGGATTGCTTACAGGATGGCCTCCACTTTAGATTTTAAAAAGGCTGCAAACTGGTCAGGTGAAAAACTAGGGGGAGGCTTATCATCCAGACCAGTTCCGGATAGGTCGCGCACTATACGGAATAACTCCGCCTGCTGGTTGGACGTTTCACTTAATCCGGTTAGCGAAGTAAGTTCGACAAGCAGCCTTTACCTTAGACAGGTAAACGTTAGTTGCGACCCTGACAGCTATCCTATTATAATCCGTCAGGTTCTTCCTCCACCTACGCTCTAGCCTTCTCCTATGTCGATTCAGCGCTCAAAGCTCCTGGTTAAACCAGGGCGCTGGCCGAGCTCTACAACGGAGAGGGCATTTAGGCGCGATCGTGTCTAAAGCCCTGGTTGCAAAGGTGGACCAGCTATCAACAAGAGTGTCAACAGGAGCGCTAGCCAGGTCTGCCATGACCCCTCTCATGATGTCCTGGAATCCAACCAGATCCAGTAGTCTTCGAGGGTGGACCATAGAAATAGGTCCCTGCTCCCTGCAAGGGGGGGCGAGCCACTGTGAGGTTACATTTTATTAGGTGTGATCTGACCATGACAAGGGGACTGACATGAGGTCCGTCACGACCAATCACACTCGCTCTAACTGGAGGAAAAGACCAGGTCCAGTGCGTGACCACCCATGTGGGTGAGGCTGTTGACATGTTGAGACATGTTCAAGGAAGCCATGGTTTCCAAGAACTCAAGAACTGACCCAGATGCCTCTGCCCCCACGTGCACGTTGAAATCACCCATGACCAAAAGCCTCAGGGATCCCAATAGTGCCGTGGAGACAAAGTCAGTCAACTCTGGAAGGGAAGTGGCTGGATCGCGGGGAGCGCGGTAACCCAGCAAAATCCCAATACCATCCCTGGCCCCAATCGACACGTGGAGTTCCTCTTTTGAGCAGGGATTTGGAGTTCATGACCTTATAGGCCCCTTCCAACTCATTCTGTGATTCTGTTTTGTCCCTGCTACCCACATCACCTCAACAGGGGAAGTGAGTTTGCAGCAGCTGTGAAAGGAAGCCAGTGCGAGGGTGGGTAGACACGAGACAAAACCTCAAAAGCAGTTCCAATACAATGCATCAGGAGCATCTCCACATAGCTATGGTAGCATGGGGTTTTTGTTTTAGTCTATTGGTACAGACATTTCACTCCCATAATGGATAGCCTCTGGAGAGCGAAATATAGGAACCTGGAACCCCACCTTACCAATTCACTTAGAAATGCAGTGGTTTAAAAAGCCCATTTAGCCCCCCCAACTGATGTACACCACAGCAGAAAATGGATTAAAAGTTGTCACAAGAGCATGCACACAGTGACCCCCAAAACCAAATTCAAAAGTCTCAACTTCAAAAGTCTCAGTCCAGCTCCTGTTTTATTTCCATACTGTAACCACACCCTTAGCTCTAGCCGTAACTTTTTATCACAGAATACAAAATGCAAGTAGGTTTTGAGTGGTCACTCACAGGTTTAGCTCTGCTGTGTCCAGATGTCAATAGAGGGAAGTTATTGTAAACTTTTAGAGAATTGGTCCTTTCAGAATTAATAACTGTTGTAAATATGTGCAGATGAACTGGTTGGCTAGTATCCTATTGGGAATTTATACTAGAGTAAGCGTGGTAGTATAAATTGTGGCAACAAATTGCCGATCATTGATCTATTGCCATTTGCTTTCTTAGTCATGTGCCAAGTCATGTGATGCATTGTAAACAGCAACTCTTTAAATAACAGCAGTTTGCTACCATAATTTGTGCACTTGTGCTTATATCAGCATAAATACCCAATAAAATTCTAGCTGCTGGGAAAAATGTTAAGTGCCTGTAGCTTTTATGTACTTGTAATGTCACCATAATTCTGTATATAACATGCTATTAAATGAGCAATTTCATGAAACTGTTTTTATGTGTTAAAATAAAATTGTAAGATCAAAATATCTTCTAAATGAATTCTTGTTGCTGTAGAACCAGTTTTACATGCCTTTTACCTAAATACAAACGGTACAATGATCTTCTCCCATGTACTTATTAGCTTAGCTTTGTTCATATTGTTATATGCCTGGACTAATTAGCATCCAGAGCTGTCTGTGATGATTCAAGTAGTGCTTTAAGGCAGGACTCTTGGGCTGGCTGTGGTGCATTTTAGTCATACTAATACTTTTTAAACCATCTTAGCTCTAAATATCCAGTGTGGTTTGGGATTTTGAAGACTTGCATGTCTGGATGGCCTTAGCTAAATGACTGTTCTTCCATTGAGAGAATGTAAGGTTGTGAAAGCAAATGACCAGTTAATTATTAGTAGTAATCCATTTTTCCATACAATAATGCACCTATAGCCTCAGCTTGACATATTTAAGCACACTCATATCCAGGGAGGAAACAGTTGGCCTGTAGTGCAGTTTTAGAACCCTGGCAAAAGGCAGGTGATTATTTAATAAGGAGATCATATTGCCAGAGTACTGGTTCACTCAGGATGCACGCTGCTGTCTTTGCGAATAGGGATTTTGCTGCTTGGCCTTGTGTCCACTCCTCCCTTGAGCCATCTTCATAATACTTTGGCATGTGGTGCGAACACCTTACCCAGAGGTTTATATTTCTCTCTTCTCAGGTCAACAGATAGTCAGCTAAAATTGTGGAATGTAGGGAAGCCACATTGCTTGCGTTCCTTTAAGGGCCACATCAATGAGAAGAATTTTGTAGGACTGGCATCTAATGGAGATTATATTGCCTGTGGTGAGTGAAACATCTGTTCATCCAACTGGCCTAGCATAGTGTTTCTTTAAAACCTTTATTATTTCTTATTGAGTGCATTTCAGTGACTTTATGAATGTGATAGTGACTTCTTGTAAACACGTCTATGTGGCAGAATTGCTTCAGTATATAGAACCACATTATGCCTTGCACCCAATTAAAATACTGAAGATTTTATATAATGTTATATAAGATTAGATTATAATTATAAAATTATTTAATTTTATATTATATATTATATACTTTTTCCAATGTCAAGTTCCACTTTATGCTTATGAAATTCTTCATTCTGATCCAAAAAAATTCAGAGTATAATACCAAAATGCTGGAGAATATTGGTCACTTTCTGTCTTTTTCTAAAGTTCCCTGGAACATTTTAAATTGTGAACATCTGTTTTGTTTTCTGTAGCTGAAATGTACTCAGCCTACCTTTCAGTCTAACCTCATAGGATGTCCCTTCCAAACTTTTTATCAATTTGTTGCTTGCATCTGAGTCCCCTCCAACGTCAGCATTTCCCTTGTACTCCATTTCTTAGAACACAAAGTAAAAGTCTTCATATGAACTCATATCATTACATATTAGATTGGTTGTGTTATATCAGATATAGTTGATGTTATTTTATATATATATAACTGCTTTGCAGTGTTTTAGCTGTAACTTGGTTTTTGATGGGAACTGTGTACTTGAGCATGAAACAGATATTTAGGAATACTTGTATGTTATCAGCCTTCTAACGTGGCTCTGTATTTTTGCTTTTGATGCAGGAAGTGAAAATAACTCTCTCTACTTGTACTACAAGGGCCTCTCAAAGACACTACTAACTTTCAAATTCGACACTGTCAAGAGTGTCTTGGACAAGGACCGTAAAGAAGATGACACAAATGAATTTGTCAGTGCTGTATGCTGGAGAGCACTGCCAGATGGGGTAAACATTTTTACTGATTTGCTGATTTTTTTTCTAATTCTGTCTTAGAAGGGGGCATGTTTGTCTCTGAGGTGATATCTGCTCCATGTCACTTCAGACAGAATTTGTCTATACATGTTCGCAGAAGTCTAGCACATCAGTGGAAGGGTCTTGCTTGGTCTTTTCCATCATTCTAGTTTCTTTCACACAGAAAAATGAATCAGATGGGAGAATTTTCCATTGCATGAGCCACCCATTAGTTTGAATTGATACTGTATAAAAATAGTTTTGGCACTCAGTAAATTTAAGCCTTTTATAGAATGATAACTTGAGACAGTATTTTGTGTAGTATGTTGTGAGATGCTATTTTACATGAGCAGTTAATTTAAAATATGGTAAAAATGCAGGCACAGAGTACTTCTAGCCCATTTATGTATAAAGTCTCTACTTATGCATTCCATTTAAATCTTTGTCAACTTTAACTGTCTGGATTCATGTTAATGGATAGGAATCTGAGCAGTTGAATTTGTTGACAAATCACAGTGGTCTCAAAGAGCTGAGCACACTATATAAGGCAAATTCTCTTAATATAAGTGTTTTGTTTTTTATCTGATGACTTCTTAGTCATCATGTTCTTACTTCTGATTCCTCTCATTTTACCTCCATTCCTCATTACTGTCCAATGCAATATGCTTTGGATTTGGGCTTGCCTTTCCCATGTTTCAAAAGGGAGAGGAATTATCTGCTTGTTTCAAGCAATGCCTTGCTTGGCTTGCTCACAGAAAGTTGCGAGGTAGGCTTAATGTCATTAAAAAACGATTAATTATTTTATAATAATTGAAGGCTCTTATGAAAAGTCAAGGTATAAATGATAACATTATTTGTATGAGCATACAATGTAGCAGGATTACACAGTACACATGATCTCGTAACAGCAAATCTCAGAAGCTAAATTTCACTCCAAAATCTGAGTAAACAAACTGATGGTGCTTAAAACACTCTCCTTGTTTGTCAGTGTGCTTGTAGCACCAAAAAGTGCTGCCCGAAAAACTGAAGATACGCAGTGGCTCAAAGGTTTTTCTTATTCTGAAGGTATAATAATGGGACTGATACTGGAACCTTTCTTAGCTGAGATTACAGCATTTTACCAGTAGCTCTGCCCCTTGTACTGTGCATGTCAGATCATTTTCCATTTGCTTTCCTTATGTTCTTCTTCATGGCCTCTATGAATCACACCCTGGGTGATCCATGCCTGCGCGGAGCCTCATTGGAAAGTTCTAGAGCTTCTGCGGTAGCAAAAAAACCACATTAGAATAAGGCCCCTCCCCCCACGTATAAGTACCTTGGTGCCAAGGCTCCCCTTTAGTTTCTTTCAACTGCCGCGTTGACAGCCTTCTGATTATGCTTCTGTGAGTAAAAGAGAAAGTTTATTCTTGATTCCTTCCTGTTATCAGTCTTTTTTCCTTTAAACTTTTAGATCAAATTAATTATCATCAGAGATTTTTTTTCCTACTTCGCTCGGCCGCCGGCCACAGCAACCCCCCCGGTTTCTTTTTCTCCTTAAATTATTTTCTCCTATTCATGACCCTTTTGGGCCCATTTAAACACTGTGTGGTCTGTGGTAACAAAATACCACTCCGATGGCCACACCAAGTGTCTTTTTTGCTTGGGAGAGGCACACCAAACGTCCTCCTCCCTGCATTGTAGGAACTTCAAGCGAGGAGTCCTCTATTCTCACTTATCCTCCTCCATCTTTGGGAACAATCCCTTCAAACAACCAAAATGGCCCAACATTCTTATAAGGCCATCTCACAAACCAAAGCAATGGAAAGGCTCTTTCTGAAGCCTCAAAACAACATCCATCGACCATACCATCCCACTCCAACGCTCCATCCACTTCGTCTAAAACTTCAAAAACCCATAAATCGAAGCACTCAATACCGAAATTCTTGAGATCAAAGCCCTCCACTAAACGTCAAATGTCCACCGAAGCCTCTTTGGTTCCGGAGCCCTCTCCATCTAAAAGACCTAAACAGCATAAATCTAAAGCTGCAGTCATTTCTCAGCAACCTCAACAAACCACTGAATCAATCTCTATTGGTTCGCCTTCTGATGATGATGGAATCCCCTCTCATCAAACCTGCTCCCAATCACCGGAATGGAATGACAGAGTCAATTGATTATCATCTTCTCATCTCTGTCCTCAACACTGTTCTTTCGAGCAACCCTTCTGTAGTTGCTTCACCTGACAGGGTCGACTCTGAACAACAACTAGAGACCATACCTTATTCTGTAACATCTGATCATCCACCACGGCCTCCTCAGAGACAGTGGCCCCCAACAGTCCCTGGAGCCGTCTATTTCATTGTGCTTGGATCAGACCCACATTCAGCACTCTCACCAGGTTGCCATTTGCTCCGACCATGGCTTGAATGGACAAACTTCCACCGCCAATCAGCCAGTTGCTTTATCCAGCTTGTCCGTAACTTCTCATGGCGTGCCTCGATCTAGACAGCCATCGGTGTCGAAACAGCCATATCACTGTGACCCACATCAACTCCAACCTGGTCCCTACCTGGCACCCAAAAGACCCAAGACAGTCAAACAATTTTCTTCTTCACGTGAGACTTTTACAGCTCCAGCCTCTTGATATTTTCCTGCTAATCCAGTTGAGGGAAATCATTCCTCTCACTCAGCATCTCCAGCATCTATATACTCCACTGTTTTACCAGCTCATCAACAACCTCCGTTTTGACATCACCGAGACACAGGCTCTGATATTGATGATCCTCGATATCCATCCTTGTCCATGGACACTCGTTCTGTCCCTCTATCGACGCACGATTTCCATCGCCCGATAGAACCAAGCCATTGAACTCAACATCACTGTGACCCCAAGTTCGACACCGATGTTCAACCATATCAAACGACATCCATGGACACTCAGATGATAGCTCTCGATATCAAAAATCCTCAACACTGACAAATGCCCATGGACATCGAGCCTTCATTGACATCGAGCCACAAACGTCAATACTATGACACTAAACCTATCGACACCAAATTCAATTGACAATCCATCGACTCCGGGCCTCAGACACCGTCAATATTACTTACATCACCTGAATCTGAGCTTGTCAATGCCGATCCACCATCACTGGCAGAACACTTCCAAACTTACACCCAACTTATGATCCGTATGGCTAAGTCTCTCAGTCTCCAAATATACCACTCTTCAACAGAACCGGCTGATCATCTATACGACCCAATCTCTAAAGATACAACTACTCCAGTACACATCTCGATGCTTCCGTCTCTACTCAGCATCACTCAACGATCCTGGACAAAACCAGCCTCTTTCCATACCATGTCTAAATGAATTGATAACCTCTACCGAGTCCATGATCCTAGAGATCTATTTCTTCAAAAACAACTAGCTCCAAACCCTATTGTCATGGGTGCATATCAACGTTTCCTTTGGGACAATATGTCAACCTTTGTCAAATCTTTACCAGAAGATAAAAAAAGTACTCACCCATACTTTTCAACAAGAAGGTCTTTCCACTGCCAAACAACAGATGCTTTCTGCTAGGCACATGATAGTTGCCACAGCAAAGTCAATGGCCACTTCAGTAGCCTTACAACGTTTCTCTTAGCTAAGGACAGCTGGCCTGGCTGAGGATGCCCACGCACGTATCGAAGACCTTCCATTTGACGGGGCAGGCCTCTTTAATGCTGAAACTGATGATATTTTGGAAAACGTGCAAAAGAAAAGATCAGCAGACGTTGGGGAATTTAGCCATCTTACCAACAAGCCCCCCCCAAAAAATCAATGGTGATGACCGTACAACTCATATCAAAAATTCCAACGTGATCCTCCAAAACAAACATCTTATACACCCTATTTCAGAAATAAAAGAAATAAGCCAACAACCCATTAGTAGGTGCAGTGACCGCAAGCTGAAACATCATGTTTGATGCTCCCATGACCAAGATCGCACAACACTCCACCCATCCTGCCCTCTGGAAACAACTACCCATCTGGGAATCCATCACTATGATGCCTGGGTACTGTTCATCATCCATGACGGCTACCGCATCCATTTCTTCCAATTTCCTCCGGCAACACATGTCATCACTCCACCATCTCCAACCCTACAAGAGGAAATAAACAAATTTCTCTTCAAAGACAGAATGCAACCCTTCTCACAACACAACCAAGGGGTTTTCTCTCACTATTTCACCATACCCAAGAAGGACTTGGGTCTTCACCCTATCTTAGACCTACAAGAGTTAAACAAATACATCATTAACACAAAATTCTGTATAGTTACCCTCGAATCAGTTCTCCCTTTACTCCGCAAAAATGACTGATTCACTGTCATCGATCTCAAATACTTCCACATTTCCATACATCCTTCACACAGAAAATTCCTTTAATTTCAGCTAAGATCACAAGCCTACCAATTCAAAAGGCTTCCTTTCAGCCTTGCAACAGCTCCAAGAGTATTCACCAACTGCATGGCACCAGTACCTGCTTACCTCAGGTTGCAAAAAATTCTCATATTTCCATATATCGATGATTGGCTTCTCATATCTCATTCCTGTCACAAGGCCCAACAAGACACTCACTTCACCCTTACCCTCCTTTGCAATCTCGATCTCGTTGTCAACAAACAAATTTGAAACCTACAAAGATTATTCATTATATAGGCGCATGCATAGATTCCACACAAGCTTGCGCCTTTTTCCTCCAGACAAGAGAGAAAATGTCATCGCATTATTTCAGGTTTTCAGCCCCCGTGCTATGGTACCTGCCTTGACTGTGCAACATACTAGGCACCATGGTGTCTATAACTTTAATAGTGCAGCACATACATCTCAATATGAGATCTTTTCAGTTGTGGCTTCTTGCCCTCTTCAACCTGCTCAGAGACCCTCCTCACACACTTCTAAGAGTCACCCCAGAACTCACCTCCCAGGTTCAGTGGTGGCGATGTACTATATTCTGAAACAAGATG